TGCATGGAGCACTGGGTGTTATACGCAAACAATGAATCATAGAACACTATATCAAAAACTAATGATGTAATGTATGGTGGTTAACATAACATAATAATAAAAAAATAAATAAAAAAAGAAAAAAAAAAAGAATGAGGAATCTTATTCAGCTCTGTATTCCCAGAATCTTACACACTACCTAGGGTTTTATATGTACATAAAACTCACTTCTTGGACAAATGAATATAGTACGGTCATTATTATAAAAAAGGAATACTTATATAGAGATAGGAGCACAGAGATAGGAACTCTATATGAAGATTCTGACTTTAGTTTTTCCTTGATTGCTGAGAGATGAAAAATCAGATTTAAATGTTTAAGACAAAATACCAATAACAACTACAATTTATTGAACACCTGCAAAGTGCCAGTCTCTATACTAGGTACTTTGCATACATTGTCTCATATTTAATGAGATATATACTCCTCAGAGCAGGTTTATTGGATAAACACTATTACTTTCAATTGACAGATGAAGAAATTGAGGCCCAGAGAGATAAACAACTTCTCTGAAGCAGCATGGTTAGTAAAAGGCAATGTTAGGTTTCAAATGAGTGCAGGAGGACTTCGCTCGTAGAAATTGGGTTATTGCAAGTGCAGAGAAGGGCGCTGAAGGCAAGTGGTAGAGCTCCCCAAGGTTCAGAAGGTTCCCAATAGATTTTAACAAATGCAGGTCATTATTTTGTTGCTGGAGTGAGTCACTCTGTGTGCCCTGTGAATGACCAAATGAATAGGACTTGAATGAATGGGGTGGGAGAAGGTTTAGTCTAAGTGTCCTTCCCAAAAGAGACCAGCAATCTGGGTGGAGAGAGGACACCCATGTCTACTACCTGTTTTCTAAACCCACTTTTGTCATTAACCTGGTTATTCAAACCTGGGGACTCAGATTGTATACTTTCGAAGGGCTAGTGTTATTTACTCTTAAAGGGGGAATTGTAACATTGAACTATGTCATCATCACTACATGTTAGAGCTGGAAGGAACCTAAGAGGTCATGATCCAACCCGATCATTGACTGATGATGTGAGGCAGAGAGCTCATATCACTCATCATGGTCCCACAGTTAGAGGCAGACCACGGTTTAGAACACAGGTTTCCTCACTCCCAAGCTTTTTTTTCACCCCACTATATCTGAGAGTTTTGTAAAAGAATGAAGGAGTTTACAGTTTTGTTTTGTTTTTTAATTTTTTTTTTTTTAAGATTTTATTTATTTGAGAGAGAGAGAATGAGAGACAGAGAGCATGAGAGGGAGGAGGGTCAGAGGGAGAAGCAGACTCCCCGCCGAGCAGGGAGCCCGATGCGGGACTCGATCCCGGGACTCCAGGATCATGACCTGAGCCGAAGGCAGTCGCTTAACCGACTGAGCCACCCAGGCACCCCGAGTTTACAGTTTTAAGGGAGGGTTGTGAACCTCCCAGATGCCAGTCTGTTCAGAAACTCAGCTGACACCTCTGTTCCACTGCAGTCTTTATTCGGGAGAGATTCATGTCACAAATCACTTTGTTTCAACCTGTTTCATGATTATTTTTGACCCCGTGTCATTGCCCTACCGGAGCTTCTTGAGGTCAGGGACTGTGCTTCTTTTATCTTCTGCCCCCATCTTTACCCTACTTTACCCTGTCTTAATCCTTGGAGAGCAGCTTTAGGATCTGTTCAAGTTTTATCCTAAATATGGGCAGCCTGAGCCCTCGCTTTCTACCATCGCTGATTTATGGCTCTGGACTCCATTTGTTGGTAGTATAGGTTTCAATTCAGCAAAAGCTAGCTGTCTCCCGAGGGAAGGTGAGAAGGAGGGACATCTGGGGATCTTAACAACAGGGTCTGTGGCATGTAGCTGAGCACCCTGGGGCCTAATGTCAGGCATTGGTCCCGGGTCTTCAGTGTCTGGTTGAAGAAGGCAGTTTCTAACCCCCTCAGGGGCCCATGGGCCAGTCTCCTTTGGGGGTCAGGATTACTGGGAATACTAATTAATTCATTAGTGGGGTTGATGGATTATCAAGCTGTCTCCTGGCAGAGGGGCCTGGGGTGGGGGGAACAGATTGCTGCCCATAAATCTGCCTGTTGCCTCCCTGTTCTCTGCTTCAATGGCTCTCGGCCTGTGGGCCGGCAACTGAGCGCTGGTTGCATTTTCCCCACCCAGCAGATGGTTCTAACAGGTTAGCTCGAGCTTTACAAAAAGCACAGAGAAAGAAGGCAGGCCTGGGGATTGGCCCTCTGGCCCAGAAACCATGTGGGGGAGGAGAATGAATGTAAATGCTCTGCAGGCAGTCACCGCCCCCTTTCCTCTGCTGACTGCACACACCCCTCCGGCCCCTTCTTGCTCCCTGAGTTCAATAGCCAACTGTCTGTATAACCTTCGAGTAGCTGTGATGAGGGTGACCCTGATGAAATAGATTCCATCCCTCCCTCTGCAAAAGGCAGCTCTTAAAGAAAATTCAGTGTCCTCCTCAATGCCCTCTTCAGGCTGCACACATGGGCACACACACATATACACAACTGAACGTGTTTTGGGAGCTAATCCTATTGTGTTTAGTTTCTTACATCTGTCAGAGAAAGCAAGGAGCCCCACAGAATGTTCTGTCCCCACCCTCATCTTTGTCTCAATATGTTCACCTTTCTGCTAATCCACTACTCTCGGCTGCACTCTGAGCATTGCATAAGCAGGATACTAACATCACCAATATCCCGAACTGTCAAATATCCATGGACATGGCTTCGAAGACACAAAGCAGGGGATCAATCCATTCTATACATGCTCATTGCAGCTCTCTCCTAAGCACAAATTACTCCATAGATAAATTTCCTCTGGCTGAAGAGGGGAATCTGATTTGTTTTTCAGAAATCCACCTTTCCTAGCATGTGTTATTTAATTCTTCTGAAAATGAAGTTTATTTTGCTGAGCAGATATTTCCTGAAGAGGAACACAAGTCAAATTAGTAAGAGCTTTAAGATTTGCTAAAGATGAACAATTTCCTATAAAAATTGAAAAAAAAGTTAATTTTTAAGTCTCTGTGTGTGTATGTGTGTATGTGTAAAGGACAAGAGTCATAGGACACCTATATCAGAGTTTTTAAAAAATGAACAATTTCAAACCTAAGATATGCTTTTCAGCATTATTGACAGTAAACCCATCTTTTGTTTTAAACTTCTGCACCTTTCCTTGCACATAAGGCATTCTCATAGCTCTTCATTTCTATTAGACATGTGCCCATTACATTGGCAGAGCAGGCGATTTCCAAAAACCTGGGGGATTCCTTTCAATTCAATTTCAAAAAGAGGTTGAGCTTGGACTCAGAATTCTATCTTGCTACTCATGGGAAAAACTTATCAGATCCTTTTACAGATGTGAAAATTGATACTGTAAGTGAAGTTGAATTACTGAATATCAATCAGCCAGTAGCTTGATCCAAGCACCCTTCCTTTTCCTCCCCAGAGCCACTAGAAGGTTACAAAATCCTTTATATCTTAAAATGAAGATTCTACGCTTTGCCTTGGTAGCTCTCTGTAATAAAGCATATCCACATATTTTCTTTAAATCTTTCCAGCTGTAGTTTTCTTTTTCTGTTCTAGCCAATTAATATTACTTCAAAACACCACAGGGATTTTAAAAATTGTAGGAACTTTCTTTTCTGCTGCTCAGGTGGACTTTTTCTAACTGAATGCTTAACAATATATTTGGATATATTTTTGAAAAACAATAGTGGATCCCAATTGGTAATTTGAAGAGCTAAGTGTCCTTAGAATGAAAGATTTCATTCATTACTTTATATTTTTATAAATTTCAAGCAAACAGAAAAGGTGAAAGAACAATACAACAAATAGAGATGTGGCTTTGTCTATATTCACTAATTACAATAAAAAGATTTTAAATGGAAATAAGTTTGACGTGTGGAAAAGAAGGGAGAGGAAGATACTTTTTCCTTCTACTTTTAGAATTCTGAAGTTTCAAAACTAAAGACGCCAATCTACAAGCATAAGGTTAACAGTCAATGATGCTGTGTTCTGGGCCTGTATCTTTCTCATTTTTTGACTCTTCAGACGTGGGCCACCCTTCTTACTTCTCTCTCCAAGTCTACCTAAATTTTCTTTCACCTTATTTCTTACCTTCTTAACCACAACGATTTCCAGTCCTCTTTTTCTTTACCTCGCAAATTCAGCAGCTCTCCCCTCATATTCTCCTTCTACTAACTTCTATCCCTATTTAAACAAACAAGCAAATAAACAAACAAAACAAATGAATGGTAAGCTGGACCTGGCCAGAGGAGCCTCTGAAGTAGCTGTGTCTTTCGGCTGGGGAAGGGGAGGAGCTAGACCCCGGGCAGCATCACCCCGCCCTGGTCAGCTGGGAAAGCAATCAAAACTGCGGCAACTCAGAGGCTCCAGCCAGAGAGCGGGAGCTGCCCAGAGGCTGTGGTCCTGAAAACTCCACTCCGGGGAACTAACCACGCAGAGGAGGTACTGAAGATCAGCTACAACGGGGGCATGAGCCCCAAGGCGTCCTGGAGGAGCATACCGAACTCCAAGGAAGGAGTAGAACAAGACGCAGTCAGAAAAAGCAGATTTGGTGGCATTTCTAAGAGGCAGTGGCCGGTTTAACATGGATCGCTAAAAGCACCTCTTTCTCCTATGGTCTGGATGGTCAGGGAGACCTGGGTTCTCTGAGTCTCCTCCAGGACACAGATTCACAGAGTTCATACCAGGGACTGCCACTGACAGAGGTGAGCCCTTGGATGGGTTGGTATGGGACTATTAAGGTTTCTGTGGGAAGTTCCCACAGCCTAGAGGAGCAGTTGGGTTGAGGTAAGGCTCTTCTGGGCTAGGAGAGAAGAGAGTAGGACTTAGGAAACTTGAACAGAGAAGCAGAGAGAGAACACTTAGGGACAGTGTTAATAGTTAAATTATTAAAGTTTTAATAATTTCACTAATTCCCATAGCACCTGCTACCCGAAGTGAAACTCATACTCCCAATCATTTTTATAAAGTAGAGATTACAAATTATCTTCCCCCTTTCCTGTCAAACCCAGTCTTCCATTTTATTAATGCAGGAGAAACAGTGTCCAAAAGTTTAACTGCTTTTCTGAGGTGGCTCAGCAAGTAGGTTGCAAGAATTGACCCAATCTGCCCCTCTGCTCACAGCATTTTAGGACTGTGTGGAGAGTGGATGGGGAAGAAGAGGAATGGCAATAGAATAAGGAATGGGAGAAGATGTTGGAAAGCCAGGGAAAGCCAGGGGGTATATTCTTACCATTGCCCCCATTTGGTCTGCTAAAAATTCTTAGATACTTGTAACAAAGTGGGGAAACTTTCCTTTTCCTCATTCTTTCAGTTAAGAAATCAAAAAAGAAAGATTGTTCATGTATATTTTTGTCTCCTCTGCCTCTCACTCATTCACCACCCCAAAAATGTACTAAGAACAATACCAATAAATGTAAAATGCTTCCCTTGTTTTTTGACAGAGGGACCAAAGATGAAATGTTCAAGAACAAGGCAGGGAAACCGAAAGATTGAGTAATTTCTGTTTGCAAAGTTTGCCATTTGAATCTGAGGCTATGAAAACTGAAGTATGACACATGTATGTTGGATAAGATGTGCCTGTGTATGTGTGTGTGTATAGGTATTAACCAAGAGGGAAAGTGGTAGAGTATAAGAAGTTGCATAGGAAGAGCACAAAACAGCCCCACTGGATGTTTCCAGGCAGTGCAACTTGTGAGCACCCTGGTCTGTATTCTGTCTTCAGTAGGAAGACTCTGCAACTCTGAGCAAGGCATTTAACCTGTCTGGTGCTTAGATTCCCTAGAAACTGAGCTGAATAGTCCCCTCTCTGTTGTATTTAGGATTTAGTCATAGGATCAGGAGGTGAAGTGAGTACAATCAACTTCCAAGAGGAGACACTGTCTAATCACCACACACACACACATCCAAGTACTCCTTGCTCACTTATTCATCAGTTGAAACTTCTCCACAACAAATAAAAAATTAGTAAAAGTGTCAGATGAGTTCCAGTACAGATTCATGTAATAGTCATGCTTAATGACCTCAGCCCCAGGAATTAAAGTATTGGGTAGTCACAGTCATTGCTTAAGCAAGCATTTTGCTAGAACAGGTTCAAAAAAAGAGTGAGAGACAATTTCAAATTTGAGAGAATGGGCTAAATGTGAAATTTAAGAAAGACCCTAAAGAAAAGGGAAAATTTTGTCATAACCTGTAGATATGTAAGGATGTCCAAATTCTAAGATCAAAGAATAAAATGGGCTTTAGAGAATTAGAATGCATTTGAGGGTGGAGTCGGGAAAGCTGTATTCTACCTCCAGAGCCAGTATTCATCGATTTTTGCCACACTGGAGTCAGCTTCATGTATATTTTGAGAGCTAATTTCTTTTGTAAAAATTGGGGAAACTTAAAATGGTGTATCACAATACTCTGTGTAGCGCTTTTCCCATACTGCTTCTATCAAACAATTGCCAGCCTTTACGTTTGCCTAATAACTTTACAAAGTCTAAGTACTTTTGCTTGATTTCCTTGTTTTTCATAAAAGCTTCTAAATGAGATATGGAAGACAAAAATATTATTTCCACTTTGCCCTAAGGGTAAAAAAATGAAAATGATTTCTCTGTACTCATTTAATAGGTAAGTAATAAATAAGTGCAGAAGGTCTCAGTTTCATGATTCTTTCAGTACACCTCTGAGCTAGTTCATTGACAGGCTAAAGCCATGGTAGAATCAGATACTTGTTCTGGAGAGAACCAAGTTGCTTTCCTTGATCAGAACTCAGAACTATACCACACACATTTTCAATTCTCAAGTCTAAAACTGGATGTTCATCATCTTTTCCCCTCTGCTAACTTTTTGATGCATTGGAGATATTTAGGTGGAAAAAGTCAAAGGCAAAGCAATATATATTTTTTTTAAATCTTTGAGGAGTCCTGGATTTTACTTCTATTTGAGAGACACTTTATTTTTTTTCCTCAGAGCTTTGGCACTTGATTCTGGTAGGAAAGTCTTATCCCCAATAGTGTTTAATCAAAGACAAAAGGAAAAATGTCCAGGGGCCAAGAGTTGTCTGTATTCCACCAGAAACTTCATGAACCTAAAAATTCATGTAACTGAGTAGGAGTGTTCAGCAAATTGCTGTCTCCCAGTTATAAAACAGAATGAAAGAGGCTAACTTCCTCCTTGAATATGGTGAAGAGTTTTAGTCAATCTGGTAGGGGCAACTGATAGAGCACCGTGTCCTCACCTCTTGCACCAGGATAGAAGCTTTGTTATTTAGTTTTAGTAGGAAGTTGGAGGAGGGGGTTTGTCAAACATTTTTGAAAATGGTTGTTGAGATGGAGCCATTGGCTTTTGTTGGCATAAAATCAATAGTAAGCACAGATTGCAATTATACTTATTTTTGTCCATGTGGCCAGAAAAAGTCATGATGAATTTTAAGAACAATAGTACCTAACACTTACATGGCATTTATGATGTCTGACACTATTCAAAGTCTTTAGATATATTAGCTCATTATGCTCACAATGATCCTATGAGGTAGGACTATTATTATTCCTATTTTAAAGAGAGAGGATGAGGCACAGAAAGGTTATGAAACTTGGGTAAGGTCACCCATCTAGTAAGTAATTGAACTGAAACTTAATCTCAAGTAATCTGACTCCAGAGTCTGCTGTCCAGCCTCACTGGGAAAACTGGTGGGCTATTGGGCAATTGTCAGATTATCTTTTGAGCCAATCAGAGGAGGTTCCCTCAAGATAATAAGAGGCACAGTAGTTAGTAAAATCTACTTTTACTATTCAACTGTGAGAAACAATTTTTATTTTTGAATATGCAAATGTGTAAATAGATTAGATAAGAGAATTCAAGAATAAACACAAGATCAATATATGGATAATGTTTTATAGCATTTAAAGTATAAAAAATCTTTTATTTTTATTTATCTTGCAAGAACCATCTTGAATATGCCTTATTCTTATTTTATCAAAGAGGAAATGGAAGATCAGAGAGTCATGTAATATGTTTGAGATCAGCAACCAGGAATCAGAACAGTTGGGCCTAGAGTGTGTGTATTCCAGCTTCCAAGATTTCAAAGCCATACTATATACCCATGGGATTCTCTTAGAGCTAAGGGACCAGAATCTAGGGAAAAGAGAGAGTTAAACTGGAGTCATCTATCCTTTCCATGGTTGGAAATTGTTTGCCCTTTTCATTGTTTTAGCCAAAGCCATTTGGTTGTTTTCCTTCATACCTGCTGATAATCTGATTTGAAAGCATCTCTTTGACTCTTACAGGACCATTAAGTTATGTTGAAGGCAAAGGATAGTCTAACTCTATTCTCCTAATCCCACTTTTTGATGACGGTGAGGATTGACAGAGCTTGGCTAGTGTCCAGAGGTGAGAGGTGGGGATAATAATAATAATAAAATAATGTCAATTACAGAGGCTAGGATGATATTCAATTTCGGGGTAATTCAGGAGACTCTGCTTTCCTCTCTTGCATCTTCCTTTTCAACTCTCCATGCATGTAAGTATGACCCAGTGATATGATGATAAAGAGGAGACAAGACAAATAAAAGGAAGAGAAAAAAGGAGAAGGGAGCAGAGTAAGAGAAGGTGGGAGAATAAAAGGGTGGAAACAACAGGAAAAAATTTTGGAAGAGGAAGGAATCCTGGAATAGGAGAGTTAACACTGCAAAGAACACCTAAACTAGCCTCTCTTTGGATGATGGTCATTTCCTGGTGACTTAGTTCTACTGATCCACATCTCCTAAAGTCAAAGTGCCTCTCTTTCTTCCTGTAGCTGTGATGGAAAAAAAAGGTAAAAAAAACATAAAACCTAGGATTTGGAATCAGAAGACCTGGTTTTATGTCCTGCTCTATCAGCTTTACATCTTTGCATTTCCGTCACTTAATCTCTGACCCACAGTGACCTCAACTACAAAACAAGCATAAATCCCTATTTCCCTCAAAGGTTGGTTATAAGGCTACACAAACATTATTATAATTACGTGTGGAACATTGCGTTTCCCAAGCCTATTCCATCCTCTTTGGCCTCAGAGTGCACCTGCCTCAGAAAGGTCTGTGTTACTTTAACAGAAAGTTAATTAGGTCCTTCACCCTCCCTCTGGATATCTGGCTGAGTTAGAAGTGCGGCTCAGCACACAAGCTCCATCATCCATATTAAAAGTGGGATTTTCTAACTTGGCCTGGGCAGCCAGTTGACCAATAGGTTCCAACGTGTGTTTTCAATAAAGCTGCTTACCCAGGAAGCCTTATTAAGTGAGTAAGTCAAGCTGACATGATTTCTGTGCTGATTAACATGAAACCTAGGCTGTTTTTGCAATGTGGTAACATTAATTATTTATAGGAGGTAAATGAGGTTACAAGGAAAACAAGTTCAAATTACCAGAAACAAATCAAATCATATATTTATATTTTTAAAATCTATGTACTAAATCCTGCTTTCATTGACTGAGGCCCAAGCTTTAAGGATCAAAAAACATTTATCATGCTCTCTCCTTTCTGATATACAAAAGTGATGGAAGGTTTAACATTTCAAAGACTAAGCTGGTAAACAGGGATGCCCCAGTTGAGCTTCTCAGATACTTTTATTTGGTAAATTATATACCTACAAATTGATCAGCAAATCTCAAAACAATTCACTCTTCCAGAATTGAACACAAAATGTTTACTAAACCACCGGTGTCTTCTGGTTTTCAAACTGCAATATTGTCAAAGAAAATTCTGATTAAACACTATATGTTAGGCAAGTGAATTAAAGTAGTCAGGCTATTTCAATGTTTGCAGCTACTATGTTCTGTTAAGTTTAGCATTTGTTCCAGATTTTTCATTTTTAATGAAGTATTATTATAATAGTTGCACTAAAATAATCTTAAATAAGCTTTGTAGACCTCTGGCTTGTAAATCTAGTTGCTCTGCCATAGTCTTGTCTGATGATGTGAGATGCATGTGCAATGAAAGAGTTTTCACTGTAACATATGGGCGAATTTAAAAAAATGGTCAGTGGTAACCCTGCTCTCTTTTCCTGATCCTTTTAGACACCATATCACTAATACCTCTAACACCACTACACTAGACAGACCACAAGGTGCTTGCTGAAAAACAAAATGCTCTTCAGGTGATGGTTAGAGAAATATTTCATGGTCACGTGGGGTACCAGCCAGTTGTGGTATGGTTCTTTCCTAAGATGGCTGAACCTAACAGTTGGTAGAGTCAGTGGGAAACATGGAATGTTATAGGTTAAATGTATGTGGTATGTCTCTAAATAGAGGCTGGGCAGTCCTCTGGAGAGCAAAGTCTGAATGATCCCACCACAGTGTTTCATTTATTTTATAGTGTAAAATACAACAGTTTACTTACTAATATTCTTTTCAAATTTTGTAGTAATTATAATTATTTTATTTATATTATATAGTTATAATTACTTTAGCATCCTCTCTTACTTTCAGGACTTTCTCTATTTGGACAATAATTTATATGCCCACCTTATGTACTTCCTTTTATGATCTGGATTCTGGTAAGAAGGAAAAATACGTTTGACTATTATATGTTATTTTTGCATAAAGTATCCATGAGACAAAGCACCAGAGAATAAAAAGAGTAAGGCACTGGCACTACAATGAATAATCAAGTCAATTTTCATTTTCTTTAGTTGATTTTCTTGTAATATGCCATAGCTATGTTAGTGTTTTGGGCATTTATTTGAGTCTTAGATTACTTATTTAGAATGGTGGACTTGGATTAGATAATCATAAGTTGAATCCTAATACAATTCTGTGCTTTATATCTAAGACATAAAAAGAAAGTTTAGATTTAAATTAAAGCAGATATTCACAGACACTAATCATTGTCATTTCCTTTTCCAGAATCTAGGAATGGCAAAACCTTATGTGAAATCCAAGGAGATGACAGAGTTGGTCAACACACCATCCTGGATGGACAAAGGTCTGGGCTCTCAGAATGAGATGAAGGAGGAGGAGAGAAGACCAGCTGCTTATGGGATGCTTGGCAGCTTAGCTGAAGAGCATGACAGTATTGAGGAGGAAGAAGAGGAGGAAGAGGATGGGGAAAAGCCTAAGAGAAGGGGTCCGAAGAAAAAGAAGATGACAAAAGCTCGCCTTGAGAGATTCAGGGCTCGGAGAGTCAAGGCCAATGCTAGAGAACGGACCCGGATGCACGGCTTGAATGATGCCCTGGACAACCTGAGGAGAGTCATGCCATGTTACTCAAAGACCCAAAAGCTCTCCAAGATAGAGACTCTTAGACTGGCCAGGAACTATATTTGGGCTTTGTCTGAGGTCCTGGAAACTGGACAGACACCTGAAGGGAAGGGCTTTGTGGAGATGCTCTGTAAAGGGCTCTCTCAGCCTACAAGCAACCTGGTGGCTGGATGCCTCCAGCTGGGCCCTCAGTCTGTCCTCCTGGAGAAGCATGAGGAGAAATCTCCTATTTGTGACTCTGCCATTTCTGTCCATAACTTCAACTATCAGTCTCCTGGGCTCCCCAGCCCTCCTTATGGCCATATGGAAACACATCTTATTAATCTCAAACCCCCAGTATTCAAGAGTTTGGGAGAATCATCCTTTGGGAGCCATCCACCTGACTGCAGTACACCACCTTATGAGGGCCCACTCACTCCACCCTTGAGCATCAGTGGGAACTTCTCCTTGAAGCAAGATGGCTCTCCTGACCTGGATAAATCCTACAGCTTCATGCCACATTACCCCTCTGCAAGTCTAAGCTCAGGGCATGTGCATTCAACTCCCTTTCAGGCTGGTACCCCTCACTATGATGTTCCCATAGATATGTCCTATGATTCCTACCCCCACCATGGCATTGGGGCCCAACTTAATACAATCTTTACTGATTAGGGCAGTAAGACAAACATTACAGAGGATAACGTGGGAATGTTTTCCATAATTCAACTGGTTGAGCTGAAGATTCAATGACCTTAAAGGAACCCTATAGATATATATCAGACACAATAGCCCCAGTCCATTTGGGCCCTCCTGCACCTGACACACTCTTTTCTCATCAGCTTCCCATATTGTATTGATTCCTCTAGTTAGGGTTCTCAAGTGAAATTATTGGACTGTTTACAATCATGTGGAAATAAAACAGAAGCCCTGGGCCCCATTCTAATGATGCCAAAAACTCATTGAATGATCTATGTCAATTAATTTTCCATTGCTGGCCTCTGTTTGCTTACTGGTAAAATTGGACAATTGTTTAAGTCTAGATGATTTCTAAAGTCCTTCACAGCTCTGAAATTCAATAACTTTGGTGATCGTGCCTATAAACTTCTTGAAACTGAAAGGATTGAAGAATAATAGGAAATGGACAGTATGTGTGGAATGATTAGATGGAGTTGCCAAAGGAGGACAAGATGCATTTTTCTCTGGGACTTGGTAGGACTTTTTTGCATCTATCTAAAAATAGCCTCCAAAGGTAAAATCCTAACTTGGCTTTCACTGTGAATAACAGAGCATGTTCTTTAAGAGATTAGCTCTATTTCTTATTGGCTGAAAGCTGAACATCCCCTTCCTTAGTAATTTGAGAACCATAATAGAGATCTCATATCAACTTGATTCTTGATAATACTTCAAAAACACTTCCTTAGTACTAGAGGTGGGGCAAGAAAGTCACTGTAACCCCAGACTCTTACGACCAATGGGACTCAGAGAAGTCATCTAGACCATTTCATAGCCTCAATAACTCAAAGGCTCTGGAAATTCTGAAGATGCTCAGGTGCAGCTATTGGAATCAACCAACAACCCAGGTCATATTCAAGAGCAATAAAATGGCTATTGGTTTTACCAAATAACCATAGTTTGGGGACTTTCTATCTCACACCTGCCCATAGGAAAACCAAATTTTCTCTGGCAAGATAAATTGCATTTGGTTACAGAAAACATGGTTAAAACCGCTGACCTCTGTCCATACCAATTATTATTATATTTTCTAGAAGGATAAGCACCAGTGAATTTATTGACCAAACTTGAATTCTTCCAATGCATATACAATTCTTTATCTCCTCCCCCACTAATTGTTACCTCTTCCTCACTTCAAAAACATAATATGTTGTTACATATTGTAGATAACTTCCCAAGTGAGCAGACATAAGGATGCAGAAATCAAATCCAAGGTCAGTGAATGCTTTTCCCAATTTATGTTTTCATCACAAGTTTATCCTGATTTGCAGGATGTTTATTTTTCTTCATGTAACTCTTCTTTCTTTTATATCAGCACTAATTTTGTCAATTTTTTTCCCAGAGAAATGTGATCTGAGAAATTTCACTGGCCTGTTCAATCTGCCAGGACAATTATTTAAAACAAACTAAAAGCCTAAATGGTTTGCATGATAGTGGATCTCATCCTGTTCCTGCCAGAGAGGATAAGTTTAGGATGTAGGGTACACAAATAGGGCCAATGAATAAAATTGATAAGGCAGATTAGTTTGCTGTTTTCTACAGCTCAGCTATCCCCTAAAACCTGCCAAACTATCTGTGTATCTTGAATTTTTAACCCTCTTATTTATTATCTCCTTACAGTCTAAGTTACCCTCTTTCCATTTTGCTTGCAGTGCTAGCCCTGCTATATTTTGCACCCTTGGTTCGTAAACCCCCTTGAAAATATCCTTGCAGAGAGATCTTAAATCCCACCAGCTACCAAAGTGGTTCCCCTCACCACACTGTTCTAGAGGCAAAAGGCAAGTAAACTGTTTACAAAGCCATCCTTTCTGAGGCTATACTGGCATTTACCTTTGTGAGATGCTGTGGGGGATCTAGCATTTTCTGGCATTTAAGTTTTAGATAATGAATGTTGTTGGAGTTATTTATTAGATATTATTTATTTAATTTATTTCTCCCTTCCTTTCATGCAAATTTCTTGGGCTCCTTACATGTGCTTGCAAACCCTCCCTAAGGCTTTGTTTGGAAAGTAGCTCATAATTTTTCTAGGAATTCCTAGTTTGGGGTGAGGCGAAAGGAGGAAGTTAGTGCAGAATTACCTGTAATGATTTTATAAAAAGCAGCAATAATTTGAATGGCTATGCAAGTTAATATTCTTAGATTCCCACCCCTCCTTCATTCTAAGACAAGCCAGTTATTTTTTGGGAATCTGTTGTTTATGCTTTTGAGGAATATGATACCCATGAAACAGGCTTCCCTGGGATTGTTCAGAGAGACTTTCTAATTGAATTAAAATTTGGGAGTGCAGTATGATTGGAAAGAGCCTACTCTCTTACCCAAGGTGGTTTCATTCTTCCGTGGACTTTATCAAATAAAAAAAACCCAATTGTTTAAACTTTTTGTAAACAAAACAAAACAAAACCCAAAACCCAGACTGTTTCTCTTCTCTTTTTTCTAGCAGAAATAAAACTGTGAGTTTTATTAGAAATTGTGTTGCCTTGTCTGTCTTCAAAGTTTTTCTTCACTCTTGTCTATCATTTTTCTTGGACTCTATGTCCTGTGAGCAGTCAGCAAGAGCACAGGCCAGTCTGTCAGGAGGATTTACATCCCATATTTCAACTCATCTTGCCAGAAGATTTGAAAGGCCTAAACTAAGTAGTCAGAAGCCTAGAAGCACTGATCTCTGCCACACACATAATCAACTATGTAATCGGCAGTTGAGAAAAAAGGATCTTCCCATTTACAGAAATCTAGGGCAATAGGCATCCTAAGACATTGAACCACAGAGAGGTGGACAGCAGGAAGATGCACTATTATCCAGAACTGGGCCTACCAACTTTTCAAAATTTATGAAGTGTGTTTTTTGGCAACTGTTTTTTAACATCTCTTCTCTTGACTTTTTTCTTTCAGGGTCTCTTCTTATCTGACTAAAATTCTGATGATAAAAGAAATAATAATGATGATAATAAAACATAGTTGGTTAGTCAAGGGAAAGAGTTGATTTAAAATACGGAAAGGAAGTCATCCTTTCACTGCTCTCCTCATCTGCCCAGGACCCACTCTCCAACTTGAAACCACTTTTTAAGCTTTAGTTTATTAGGTACCAAAGATCTATCATGCATGTAAGAAGATATTAAGTACATTAGGAACAAATATGAAGTTACATTATTTTCCCCTTTTCCCATCAGTGGTATAATATAACAGTTTGCATATTGCATTTTATTTACTTTGACACACACCATGGAGCATTTTCTTATGTCATAAAGTTTCTTAATCCTTTCTTATAGCTGGCAAGCATTCCATGTTAAAATACCACAATTTATGAAATCAAATTACATAATTTATATTTTTCCAATCTTTCATGATATTGAATAAATAATCATGTATCCATGTCATTTGACACTTATTAAGAGAATCTTTACAAATAATATTCTGGAGGTATAAAGATAAACTGACAGATATCAACAATCACATCTAACAGTTATTGGATGCTTACTATGTACTGTCGCTTTTCTAAGCTATTTATATGTATTAATTCATTCAATCTTAACACCATCCCTACAAGGGAGACACTACTGTTATTTTCATTTTACAAACTAGGAAGCTAAGGCATAGAGTAATCTGTTCAAGCTCACACTGCTAGTTAGTGGTGGAGCCAGGACTGGAACTAGTTGGTTTATCCAAAAGGTTTGAAATGATTCCTTGTGGTTATTTGCCTGGTAGGTACACAAGGATGTCATATCTGCAAGAAGCCAGAGCTGATGGAACTTTCTGACACCAGCTGCCTTTACATATGACATCCTGTCGTATCTATGACCCAGGCTGGCCCATACCCAAGCTCTGCAATAGAATCTGAGAAGACTTTCCTTCCTCTGACAAAAGCTCAGCTTTGTATTGTATGTTGCCTATGTAGATGTAGGCTAGCTCACAGAGCAGTGCTTTGTTGCTTGAAAGTATCTTTCAGAGGGCTAAAATCTATTTCCCTGCTGTCATGTCATAGATCTTTAGAGTTTTAGAAAAAAGTTTTAGCGGGGAGTTACAGAAATGAAAATTGCAAAATCTTCTATTGACAGAGGAGCAGCCTAGCTTCAAGATTATTTTTGTCTGGCTATATAACTTTGACGTACAGTTTGTCACTTTGATCGCAAACATTGGCTTTGGGATCGAATAAATGATATTTTATTTATGCAACTTCCTGGTTGAATAACCTCTGTTAAGCTGATTAATCCTGTAAATCCTCAGATCCCTCAAATTTAAAATGGCAGTAATAATAATGGTTATGTCACAGGGTTAGTATGACGGGCCAATTGAGATTATACACCCAGAGCACAAAGCAAGTATCTAATAAGTGGTAATTACTACCATCCATGTTACCATTCATTATTCTTTCATTGTATTTATGTTAACTTTTCTCTTTGCCTCCAATACATGACTGAGGGAGTGTGGATGGTGACTGCAGCAGGCCTAGGGTACCCATGGAATTCTTAGTTAAGAGGGTTGGATCAGGTGTGAAACTAATTAGTTGATAGTCCTGGACAATTTATTGAACATCTCTATGCCTCAGTTTCCTTCTGTATAAAAAAGACATAACAATTCCACCAATCCATGGAGTTGATATGAGAATTAAAAGTAATGATAATGCCAGTGAAGGGTTTGTCTCAGCTTCTGGCACCAAGGCAGCAATCAACCATTATTATTTTTATTATTATCATCAGAGAGAAGATGAGGGAATCGAGAACAAAAGGACAGAGCAGATCCTTTGCATTTATACAATAAATCATTGTAGCCAACATCAAAATCCAAGCCTTTTGACCTACGGTCCATACATTGGAATATACCGTTTTCTAACTCATCACAGGGACATGTTAAACAGAAATCCCCAGAAGCAAATTTCCTGAATTGGGGAAATAGGAAACACCGTATTTTTCTTTTTTTTTCTAGAAATTAGTATAGAGTAAAAAGAGCCTTGTGGTAGCTTTTTGCTGTCATCTGGCCCGAAACCATGTAGAAAAAGAATACTATTACCTCACAAATACATAGTATTATATACTTCATTTCAATTTAATTT